CTTCTTAATATTATCATATCATCATTTAATACCTGACCTTCAGGATGCAAACCTGGAACTTATGGGCCTGATTGTACTCGTTGTGGACACTGTGACGTCACGTGCAATGTTGGAGATGGACGCTGTCGCGGAGAGTGTCTGGACGGCTTCACTGGTGACCGATGTGATGAAGATGTTCGGGGTTCGAATCTCATTTATGTCTTAATAAAAATAGTGTTTTAGATCAGCTTTAACATTGATATTTAGTATGCATGGAGCCTTTGACAACATGAGCGTTTTTTAGTAGGACATACATGTGTTCACAAATAATGTTTAGCTCATGTTAATTTACAGGTGTATCAGATTCAGTGTCTCCTGTTACAAGCGGAGTTATTGGAGGAGCAGTAGTGCTTGTTGTAATGCTGTTGCTGATTGGTGGATTGGTGATATCTGGAAGGTAACTTTGAGAAGGCGACCATAAGTGGTGCACTTGTGCCTAATCCCTTTGCGTTTTGAATAATAAAATCTGTTTTAAAATAAACGTTGAAAACAGTATGCAGCAGGTGTTAAAATAATGTGTACATGTATATTGCTCTTAACTCTAAATACCAACTGCGAAAGGTACATGTACAGCGGACATATTTTTGTCACTGGATCAATGTGCATTCAGCCCCCTGCGGAGTATACAACCCAGGCTAGGCTGTCAGGCTCTAGAATGTTATAACTGTCACCTGTCCTATATCTTTCCAACACAACTGTTTCAGACTGAAATGGGTACCCTCACCTGGCACAGGTGTGAGGAAAACAGACACAGGTGAGACTGGAGAGGTCCCTGCTCATGCGAACACGTCTGTAACGAATGAGCAAGGCTACACCGAACTGAGTGAAGTCACCAGGGAGAGAGAGGAGAAGTCGCAGTACGATGTCATTCAGAACAAAGTGTATGAAAACAACCAAATCTGAGTTGAGAGTAGTGGATCCTTTTCGCACATTCTATGAGATACCGCATTTAATGTTCACATAACTGAATATGTTCTGCCCAGAGGACAAGTCTGGAATAGTGTATATGGTTATACCGTGTGAGTGAGTGAGTGAGTGAGTGAGTGAGTGAGAGAGTAGGTTAAAATTGTACATCGCATTGGCAATATTACAGCTATATAGCTATGAAAACAAAGTAATCAATTTTAAACACCTGTCAAAGAAGGATAGTAAAACAACTAGATTATCATAGATATATATTTAAAACTAGTACTTAAATCTAAAATACTTTAACTATAGAAGACGATACAATATAAACACAGGCTATAGATCGCCGACAACTGAAGGTAGATCACCATACTAGGGACGGTTATACCATGTAAGATATCCAACCTGAAATATAGTATGAAAACCTTTTTAGTTCGTATTTGGTAGTTTGTACATATGATACGTGTTAATGATTAGTTATTATTATATTGTTATATTTGTTGTTATTTTTATAGGTTATGTCACTACTGAACAAGACATATATAATTATGAATTGCATGATCACGACATTTTCTATATTTTATGCATTGAAGCTAATTTGCTTTACTGTACGGATGGGATGTTGCAGACAAAAGTTAAAATGACAAAATAACCCATGTTGTATGTTATGGCTGTCAGATCAGTTCATGACATATACCATTTCTGGTGTCATTAAGTAATATGACTGAAATCATGACCACCGATCTCGGCAAATGTGATACTATCCGAATACTGCAAAACAACCAAGGCATATCAAATTGGCTTTGCTCATGTTTTTGTTTTCATGTATTTCACCACCTAAGTAATATTTCATTGCATTTTAAAAATGTATCTGTATGTGATTAATTAGAATAAAATTTACCAACAAGTTATTTGGAATTATCCGCTGTTTCCTGACGTAACACATTCTAGTTATCAACAACAGGTTGGTGGCCTTTCGCACATCTAAGTCTTTGGACTATTTTGTTTTTAACTGAGAAATGTTACTTTGTTGGTGTTGCGAACAATGGGAATTGTCACACAGACGTTCATCTTCTATACGGGGCGGTTGGGTAGCCTAGTGGTTAAAGCGTTGGCTCGTCACACCGAAGACCCGGGTTCGAATCCCCACATGGGTACAATGTGTGAAGCCCATTTCTGGTGTCCCCCGCCCTGATATTTCTGGAATGTTGCTAAAAGCGGCGTAAACCAAACTCAGTCAGTCAGTCATCTTCTGTACATATCATAGTCATTGTGGGATACTGATGTCGTAAGGTTTGGACTGACCTTAGAGGAACGGTCATTCCTAACTTCTGTGTGACCATATGTTTGTGAGAGGTGAATTGTTTGATAGAGAACTTTAGAAGTTGCGTAATGACAAAATAGTAATAGTCATTGAATAGACTACAATTTCTTTGAGTGAGTGAGTGAGTTTGGCTTTACGCCGCTTTTAGCAATATTCCAGCAATATCACAGCGGAGGACACCTGCAATGGGCTTCGCACATTGTACCCATGTAGGGATTCGAACCCGGGGTCTTCGGCGTTACGAGCTTTAACCACTAGGCTACTCAACCGCCCCACAAGTTCTTTGATATCCCTCGGACGAAGTTTTGTGCGAATAGTATGCAATCCTTATCAGGGTATTAGGATAAATACCAAAACGTCGCCATTTGATATTTAAGAACTTGTAATCGATAGTGAGTGAGTGAGTGAGTGAGTGAGTGAGTGAGTGAGTGTGCGCGTATGTGTGTGAGATAGCTTGTAGTAGCTTACTTCTATATTTATATAATCTTTCACATCATTGCATGGATACACAGATACATCATTGCCGGGCGCCACTCAGGGTCAGTGAATTTATCTGGGTTTGGAAATGGAATCGGACTTTCTCTTTTAAGCTACCGATACACAAATACATGCATGCCTGTAACGTGTTGTGTGCAAAGAGCAAGGGGACTAAAATTGCAGGAGAAGTAGAATATACACTGCTTTTGCATCTTTTTCTTTTCGAACCGGAAGTCAGTATGCTGGAAGTAATAGAAACATGTTACCAAACATTTAATTGCCAGAGTTAGTATATACATTTGTATCGTTACTTCCTAAAAGGGGATTTGGCTGAAGGTGAGTTTAGCGGAAAGCGGAAGGATATAACCTTCTTGTAAATACTTGGAAGATCAAAGACAAGCAGTCATCATCGGCAATGAAAAATCCGATTTCGTCAAACTACACTGTGGTGTTCCACAAGGATCTGTTTTAGGTCCGATACTCTTCACGCTGTACACGGCAAATCTGGCTAACATCATCCAACACTTCAAGCTTCTTCACCATGGATGTGCTGACGATACACAAATGATGGACAAATTCAAACTCAATAACCTTCAGGTTTCCTTCCAACGCATATCTGATTGTACGGCAAGAACAAAGTCATGGATGACAGCAAATAAGCTGAAACTGAACGAAGAAAAAACAGAGGTGATGCTGATTGGCACTAAGCAACAGTTGTCCAGAGTAGAAGAACAATCCATTCTGATAGCGGACACGGAAATAGTTCTCAGTGACCACCTTAAAGATCTGGGAGTATTTCTGGACTCACACCTCTCCATGGAGAAACAGGTTACCCACATCAGTAGAACCTGTTATTATCATCTCCGATCCATCAGCAACATTCGACACTTAATAACCGCAGAAGCTGCAAAGGTACTTGCCCATGGTCTAATAACATCAAGACTAGACTACTGCAACAGTTTGCTTCAGGGCATCAGTGGTAAACTGCTATCTAAGCTACAGGTGCTGCAAAATTCTGCTGCACGGGTCATCACAAGAACACCAAGACACGTGCACATGACACCAGTGCTCAGAGACCTCCACTGGTTGCCAGTAAAAGCTAGAATAGAGTTCAAGCTTCTCTGTATCACATATCGATGCCTCCATAACACCAGCCCTGACTATCTATCTGAACTCTTGACTCCACATACTCCAGCACGTAAACTCCGATCAAGTGACCAAAATCTCCTCCAAGTTCCTAAATATCGACTGAAGACATTTGGCTCCAGATCCTTCTCCAGCACTGCCCCTATCCTCTGGAACTCACTTCCATCAGAGTTGAAACTGTGTCCAACTTTTGAGAAATTCAAATCAAGACTAAAGACCCATATGTTCTCCAAGTATCATAGTGACATTTAACTCCACTCAACACTCCCTGACTTTTATCTTTATACATTCCCATTGTAGCGCCTTGAGCAGGCATATCTGTCTGGATTGTGCGCATTATAAATGCACATTTATTATTATTATTATAAATACACAGCAGCAGCGCAAACGAATACCCTGTACTGACTATTACAGATTCCATATTGTGTAAAGGCTAACAGAGCTGGGTAAATTAAGAACGGACCACCAGGTGATGACACAAGGTGTTAGCAAAAGGTGAACATGTCCTGTCATAGGTTTCCCTGTCCAACAGGTTTCATGTCACTGTAAGGCTTGTCATTTCAGTGATATATTCAAGGCCTGAATGCAAATAGCCCAGGTTTCTGTGTAATATCAAGGTAACTGTAATCTGAGCGGCACTGGTGCATGGAGAGTACTTGTAGGAGTACAAGGCCTATTCACTATCGAAAATAACATGAGTACACCATGTGTATGGACTGGTGAAGTGTCCCACACTGCAAACAATATCAACACACAGAGGAGAACTCATGAACCACAGGAAGTGTAAAATGCCATTCAATGAGGTGGATAAATGAAACATAAGGGATTACACTTTCTCAGAAAAGTACAGGTTTTAGTGTTTTAACGGTGAATCCACAGAGATTGGAACACACACTGCCCCAGTAATGCAATCTAACTCATTCAGTCACAGCAATCTCCACAAAAAAACAATAGATCGTGTTTAATGAAAGTAACAAGTAATACAATACATTCAATTTGAATACGCCACGACATACATCAACATAGATATACAGTATTGTGTTACGAGCTTGTGTAAATACTATTTCTAAGGCCTCATTGATTCGTCGTCAGGGTTGGCCGCTCGTGACCAAGATGGAAGCTACCCTGTAAACATTGTTGGGATGTCAGCCTTACAACGGATCCGTGAGTCACATGCATGTGTAGGAAGAAAAGTAGTGAGTGTGACCTGTTGATACTTTACTCAACATTGATCAAAGCCCTGCGTCTCACTATATTTCTGCATAGAACACTTCTCCTGAAGTCCCTCTGCCCAGTTCAGGGCTGATACATCGTCATGGCTGACCGCATGTGACCCAGATGGAAGATACCCTGCAGGCTCTGTTGGGACCCAACCTTACAACGGGTCAGTGAGTCACATGCGTGCATAGGAGGAGAATCTAGTGAGTGCGAGCTGTTGATATTTCACTCAGCTCTTTTCCAATATACAGCAAGATAAAACCGGTATCTCTGTGCCTGGCTACATACCTGCCCACAGCATGTATCTAATTTAATCCTTTCTGAAAAGGATGTACCTGAATATGAGCAAATGTGACATGGATAACGAATGTGAAAGCTGAACACATTGTTCACATATACGTGATATGTGTCAACAATCTTATTAAACGTCTGTGACAATCTGTTGTGTGTTACTGGCGTTGTTATGGACTGTAGTCCCCTATCATGGCTCCAAAAAAAAACCATTTAGATACATAAACTCATACACGACACAGTGGATATTCAGTGAGCGTAACCTTTAACACAGTTTGACTGCGTATTTCACTTCCTGGTTGCTCAACATGGCGGGTGTCTGGATATTCGTTGTAGTGGTCTTACTTCGATGGATACAGCTGACATCGTGTGAGTACATCAGCCGATTGTCTTACGTCGAAGAATACGTACCTTCCTCGAGGATGTGTACATCACTACAAATAATCTATTGTGTATATATATACTGAGACGAGCATGTTGCATACACGTTTGACAAAACTTGTTTTGCAAGTGTTATATATAGCAGAACCCGTCCACTATTTGCATGTGCATCTCAGCTAACGGGACAATACCAATAAAAAAACGTGTTATAAACCTCGAGTATAACTCACTGTTGTGTGAAGCGTTTACTTCGTACAAAGCTTAAAAGATGTTATTGCAGTCGAGAGGAAAGAGCAAGATGAAAACGGATTATCCCAACTTCAGTATATTACATATGGAAGGAAAAGGTTGTATTTCTAATCTGTTATAAACTTTGTGTATAAGTCACTGTTGTGTGAAGTGTGTGCTTAAAAGCTTAATAGATATCACTCGAGTCGAGAGGAAAGAGCAAGATGTACATGGATTATACGATGAGACTAATGAATCGTTTTTACTAGGATATTCTATTACCCTTTCCAAACAATTAACCTTACAGCAATAAATATTCATTCGTGCATTTTACCAACTGACAACCCTCTATATATTATACAAGGAAGAAAAAGGTTGTGTGTTCGTCATGAGTAATCTACTGTCAAAAACTAGAGCAATTACTTATTGTGTATTTCTAATCTGTACCTTGAACTACAAATTAATGTAAATATATCACAAGTTGTACATGTGCGTTTGCACATGATATCAAAAATAAATCCTCATTTCAGTCGTCGTCAAACATGACCTTTGCCTACGTTCTGGGCCCTGTCCTACATAACTCGACCTTTAGTCATCCGAATACAGAGGTGAAGTAATCAATATTGAGGCCATGTCATCTACAGCACAGTGTCCAATCACCTATGCATCTAAACATTGTGTTTTCATCCATACAACAGGGCGTCATTATCCACTATCCTGTTGACCGGCCGTCAGTAAACGCGTAGAAACCAATTTAACCATAATCGATTTCAGTTTGTTTATTTCGATATGTGTAAGTTATATTAAAAGTCAAGGAGGGCTATCATGGAATCCTGACATTCTGCTATACTTACCCTGTGGTCCTGTCACCTCTACCTCAAGGTACCCTGCCAGGCATAATCCGGGTGTCTTGCTATCCACAATATCCCACTTTCCTTTCTCAAGTCCCTATCATTCTTACTGTGCAATTATGTGATTCCTACCCCGTGGTCCTCTGTCAATCCTACCCTCGGGTCATTTCATCCCTCCCCAGAGTTCTGTCAAGCTCTCATCCCAACCACTGTCAACCCTTCTCTGGGGTCGCGTCACCCCTACCCCACGGTTCTCTTATCCCTTCCAAGGATCCCTGTTTTCATTCCAGTCCCTGATAGTCCTACTTTTGGGGTCCTGCAATCACTACCTGACGGTTCTGCTATCCTTCCAAAGGGTCACTGTGTTCTCTTTTCGTATCCTTCCTAGTCTTGTGTCCTAACCCTACACTATCGGTAGGGCACTTCATTTCTATTTTGTGACATTGGCATTCCTTACCCATGATGGCATCATCCCTGCCATGGGGTTATCCCTGCCTCAAGTAACATCATCCCATTCATATCACACATTTCATCACCTAAAACCCAGATGCCAGTCACCGATACATCTGAACATGTATGATTCATGTTTAGTACCACGTCATCAAAGGCCCAGGGCCCATTCATCTGCATCCGAAGTTAAGTCACTGTTTAGCACTGCCCACACATGTCTTCCCATTGATGTCCATTAGCAAACTGTCCCGCTTCAGGAAGTCCTATGTATGCAGGATATATGATAACATTGACCGTTCGGTGCAGTATGTCCGTTCCATCAGACATAATGCAATATACCATTACTATTACCTGTAAATAAGCATGATGTGGTGTTTGGTATGAATGTTTGTGAGGTAAACATATACTCTAATACCATTTTGTTGAAGCAACAGTTGTGAAACCATGTCACGTGAAGAAACAGTTTTCATCGTTTCAGTCTCTGATAAAGTTTAAGGGATATTGAGAGTGTAGCTGTCCTTCCTCATCCACCTCCCACTGAATCCCCCCGGTGTATGGTCAAACGTTCAACACTTTAAGGAGTAACATATGTTATATCTGGGATTACACTTTCTTAGTAAAATACAGATTCTAGTACTTTTGTTGAGTCCCACCGCCAGCACACAAAGTCAGATACCTAGACCGCTCAGCCACTGCGGCTTCCACGAAAATGGAAGTCGGACAAATGGTAGTCTAGACTGCGGACTTGTGCACCCCTCTGATAAGTGTTAATTGGCACGGCTCCCACGGCCGAAAGCTATGATATACACAATGCCATTTAGAAAGTGGTCTAATGTAACATATGTTATATATTTCAGATTACACTTTCTTAGTAAAGTACAGATTCTAGTACTTTTGTTGGGTCTAGAACATGGAGAAAAACCAAGCAAATGTTTTCTGCATCTTGTGTCAATGAATTGATTAAATATGTCTATTTCAGTCTTGTAAGAAATGATGGCACTGTAATAAATACGCAAAGTGACATTCTAGAAGAAACAAATGGGTTTTATAAAAAATTATTTTTCTAGTGAAGATTGCACAAAAATTGATCAAGAGAATCTGTTTTCCGATACAGACATTCCAAGATTATCTCCTAAGGAATCCAATCTAGAAGGTACAATAACGTATGAAGAATGTCTTACGGCATTGAAAAATGAAAAAATCCCCTGATGATTCACTGCTGAATTTTAAAAAATTCTTTTGGAATGATCTAAATATATATTTGATTACTCCCTGAACTATGCACATGAGCATGGGTCCTTATCTGTAACCCAGAAACAAGGATAAATCACATGTTTGCCTGAAGCCAATAAGCCTGAGTGCCCTATGACCAATCGTAAACCCCTAAAATCCCAATCTTAGCGTGACGTTACGATCGGCATACCGTTCCACTAACCAATCTTACCCAAGTCAATCGTAAAGTTAAGATTGAAAGTCTATGTTGCTCATGACCAACTTAGGATAGCTAAAATCAATCGTAGAGAAACCAAAATGGTTGCTTTCCTATTCTATGTGAAACATAAGAGCGAGCATTTCACCCTGAGGGTCCCCTAAAATCCCCCATGAAATGAATTTGTATATTTCTGTGATGTAAACAAACACTGCACTGAAGCCTTACAAATGTCAGGCCAGTCTGACCACTGTCGTCATGGGAACACAACCGAGCGAGTCGGTGTAACACATTTGTACAACAATATTGCAACGTCATAGTTAAGAATAGGGACAGCCGTGAAGTGAACAATGTTCTAAAACAAAAAAATACAAATATGTTTGATTTGACGTCACTTATTTGGTGGGGGATTCTGAAGGCAGGCCGCGTGTTATTCAAGACCACTGACAGATTATACATACGTTATAGAGGATGCCTCGTCACGTCTTGTTTATTCTGATTGACAAGGTTCAGGCACATAATAAAAGCTCTGACATAATTGACATTTTTTAAGTCAAGATTTAAAACCTGTTCTCAGTATATGACTTATAATCTCGGCTGTAAATACTCTCGTGTAAATTATCTGTACATGGCGCTTTGAGCATGCCCCAGGATGTGGAATAGGGGCACTATAAATATACATATATTATTATTATATTATGCCTGATACCCAGCGTTCACACGCACTTGCACCTGAAACCAAGGTGCTCACTACCCTAATATTTTGCTCTAGGTTTTTTCTCCACGTTTACACTTGGTTGGAAAAATACCCATGAAGGCCCGGATTAGAATATTGAACTTCAATAACCCATGCTTGTCGTAAGAGGCCATTAACGGGATTGGGTGGTCAGACACATGTCATCGGTTCCCAACTGCGCAGATCGATCCTCATGCTGTTGATCATTGGATTGTCTGGTCCAGACTCGATTATTTATAGCTGAGATACATAACGTTCACTAACATGAACGCTCATGTTAGTGAACGTATTGCATCTTAATTAGCTAGATTATTTACAGACCGCCGCGATATAGCTTGACTATTGCTGAGTGCGGCGTAAATCTAAACTCACTCACTCAGTTGGTTCGTACAGTACTTCCATCATTTGCTAGACTATGCAAAGGGAAATAACTCGTGCCTCGCATTCCTCTATCTCTCTAACGAAAGAGTCTCCATCTAAGCTTGGATCGGATCGTAAGATCGGTACCGGCTACGATCGGCCTAAGATCGGTTAGTGGAACGGGTGTAACTTTTAGCTAAGACGATTGTAAAATTGGCGTAACTTGCTAAGATTGATCTTAGTTAAGATCGGTTAGTGGAACGGCACCCTGAACAGTTTCTCAAATCTTGTCGTACCATTAGTCTATTGAATACCTCATATAAGGTTGGATCTACAGTTATCGCTAACAATGAGTGAGTGAGTTAATATAATGCGTCACATCAGCAATATTGTAGCCATATTGTGGCGAGATCAATTTAATTCATGATAACACAATGTCATTTAGAAAGTGGTTAAATGTAACATATGCTATATTTGGGATTACACTTTCTTAGTAAAGTACAAATTCTAGTACTTTGGGGGTTGAGTCCCACGCGGTGGAAGTGGTAAGGTGGCTGACTTTGTGTGCTGGCGTTTAGGTGCCTGACTCCGAGGGTGTGGGTTCGAATCCCGGATGGGACTCAACCTCAAAAGTACAAACATGGATTTCAATTCTCCTACATGATATAGAATCATGCGTTCTTGTAAATCATTTTGGAAGCCCTTTGTTCAAGATTACTAGAGGATGCAGACAAGGGGATCCGGTCTCGCCATATATATTCATCCTATGTGTAGAAATCTGAGCAATTATGATAAGAAAAGATAAGAGGATAAAGGGTATTAAGATGGGAAATGTTGAAAGCCTTTTAGCTCAGGTTGCCGATGATACTTCATTAACAGTAGATGATACTGAGAAAGGTCACTATGCAGTTCCTAATGTCTTAGCTGTTTTTGCAAGGTTTCTGAACTTGAACTGAACAAGTGAATACTGAAAAGACAAGACTAATATGGATAGGATCCAAAGAAAGGTCACGATACGAGCTATCAATCTAGATTGGTTACAATCATAATTTCATCTGTTAGGTATCAAAGTAGATGTTGATGTTGATCTAGAATCTATGGTAATCATTAATTATTCTGACAAGCTTAGGAAAATTGGGAGACATATGAAAATTCGAGAATCAAGATTTTTAACACCTATGGGAAGCAATTTGTCTTGAAATCCTTATTACTGTCAAAATTTAACCTTCTCTTCTCATCTATACCAAGTCCACCAGATGATATGATTCAATCTTTTCAGAAGAAATGCTTTGATTTTAATTGGAAGGGTAAGAACGACAAAATCAAAAGAAAGGTTGCTACTACCCCTGCTGAATATGGAGCTCGAGGTTTCAATGGTGTTTATATTAGCAAATGTATGCTATTCCAAATAGATTCTGGAGGGATGTTGTGGAGGCATGGTCTGACTATCTAACAATTTGTTATAAGAATGCGGCTCATAGTAAATCCATCACTCTGGCACAATATTTTGATTGGTGGCAGAACAGTCTATCACAGCAATATGGAAGAACAGAGCGAATGGGAAAATACTAATTTGGTGGCTAATCGATGTACTCAAAGCGTTAAATTAGAATGGTTTCAGTACAAGATAACTCAGAATATTTTGACAACTAATATTCACATGCATGAGATTGGATACATTGATTCACCCGTGTGTTCCTTTTGTAACCAAGTGCCTGAGAGTGTTATAGATTTATTGTGTGATTGTATTCATTCAAGCGAAGTGTGGAAAGAGTTGACTAAGTGTCTAACAAAATTAGCTGAAGGATACATTGATTCAACACCAGAAAATATAATTTTTGGTTCCAACTGCAGAAATAATAACCCACTTAATGCCATATGTTTAATGGTGAAACCAAATATCTACAATGTGGGCAGAAAAGGGAAAAACCAAATTTTAATGCGCCCAAAAAGAAATAATAAGTTACTATCAGTCATGCAAATTTACTGCTTTTACAAACAATAATCAGTCCAAATTCTTTGCATTTTGATCCTCTTTCCACACACTATTTTTAGACTTTGAGGCTCAATATTCAAATGTAATGTAAAATGACTTATACTTTGCATGTTATTAGATACAGTTAAACCTGCACTAGCCGTTGTTCATACACAGCATGAACCATACTGTGTATCTATGCATACCTATGTACATGTAACATCTGTTGGGAAATAATGGGTAACGTAAAAACGTCTTATGCCTTTCATGTTACCAGTCGCAATCAAACCTTCACCAGTCGTAGTTCATATACAATATGAACAATGTTATGTATCTACGCATACCTGCTAGGAAATAATGGGTAATGTGGATGACAAACTGGTTGTCTGAGTGAGAGGGTATACTTATGCAATCAAAATATCCATGAACGTTTGTGTCACTGATACCAGTTGAAATGAGCATCAGAAGGAATTACCCCCCTGTAATAATTAGTTACTCTGAAAAGTCTTAATCCATCCCTTATTTGGAATAATCCATTATGCAAATATCATAACCAGCAGATCCTAGCATGGTGATCTACCTTCAGATGTTGGTAATCTATAGCCTGTTTTTTATATTGTATTGTCTTCTGTAACTAAATATTTTAGATTTAGATACTTGTTTTATATTCATAACTGTGAGGTTCTAGTTGTTTTTACTGTCCTTCGCTGACAGGTTTTTTGTAATTTACCTATATTTATTATAAAAGTAAACCTGTTTTTTGTCACGACATGGATGAAATATAGCCGATGTGACTTAAAATCTTCACTCACTCACTCATAACAGGAAGATCTCACATCTCCAGCAATATAGCCCACTTTGACAGTTTAGAGACTGTCAATACTCCTTTCAGTGTTGAATCCTACCTTTCTGTATCTCCCCACAGGTTCCTGTCAACCAGGAAAGTTTGGAGAGTCCTGTAGCTACTCCTGTCACTGCGGGACATCATGTGACGAGACTACAGGTGCCTGTTCTGGTTCTTGTGATAGGGGATGGAGAAAGGAGGGAGGTCTTTGCCAGAAACGTGAGTGACACATGCAATTAACGCTAACATATGGATTTGTTAATTATTCTCCTTTGTTCGGTGTTAAACCTTCCTCTTGGTACAAGCCATTATAAAATGCATGGTTATCCCTTAACTCACACCGTATATAACATTAACAGATAGGTTGTAGAGTTTTGGTTGTCATTACACCATCAACTAGAATCCGACTGTCACCATACATGTAAACCCTGTGAACCTTTTCAGTATTTGCACATACTGGGATCTATATGGAAGCATGTGTATGACATGATTCTTGTACCACATAGGAAACATTGCACTGAGCAAGACAACATCAACAACACCTGAAGCATACCCAGCCTGGCCCGCATCAAATGCTGTGGATGGAGACAGTGACACTGGTGGTAAGGGTAGAACCTGTTTCCACGCTGGTGGATCTCCGTCAGACTGGACAGTGGACCTGGGCAGGGACTTCCAGCTGTATGACATCAGGATCTACAGTAGACGTAATTGTAGGTACCCAAGCATCGTGATCTAACACAGATATGAGCAACAGACTGATATTGCTCTATCTGACGAGGCATATTTTCATTATACACTTGTGATTAAACCAGAGCAAAACAGTACCACCCCATCACCTAATATACCTCAAAGTGTGATATCTCCACTTATCTGTATCTGCTCACTTCTAGTATTTCATACACATTTCACCTACACCCCAGTTCACCTACTGGGGCAGATGCCAGATGCTTTAAATATACCATTTATATCAACATATTAAACATTCCACATCAATGAATTGGCTCCGAAACAATTCCGTCTCGAGGTGTATATAACAATTGAATACTGGGTAACAGAAGAACGTAACTATGCATTAGGTTTGTATTACTCTGTCACAAACTACAAAATATGGCATTTTTGGTTATAACGGTGGGGCACCATCATCTAATATACATGAACGAGTGTTATGTAAACGCATTTAAATCATGAATGGAATAAATATAGGTTATCACTTTGGGGTGGTAACTATGCTGTATCAGGACCAGACAGTATGTGTTTAGCTCTGCTTTGTAGATTCTATACTGTGATTATTTATTGGAGTGTGGTATACATACATATATACTAACGGAAAAAAATAACTGTGCATAACATAAAATTGCATAAGATAAAGTTATTTGAAAAATTATAAAAATGACCCTAAATAAACATGTAGCAAAACACTTTGCATGAAATGTGATGCCACGTAATGCGCGTGGCACGTGCACTTTGTGCACAATGAACTTACTCACTTAAAGTTGAAAACTGAAGGGCGGTTGATTATTCTACAGCCTCTAAATGCTTTGGAAAACTCGTTAATTGCAACCTAAACTGCGCGTACGTAATGTCACGGCTTACAGAAAAACCAGCGTCTCCGCGCCGTGGGTATGCTCTATAGAGAAGTTTTCAACATAATGGGAACAGGAGAGATGCACACGTGACCTCACGTCAGCAAGACAACCATATTCCGCTGACCTGAATCGATTCCAGACAGCCATTTTGTCTGCTGGGACCATTCCTGGCTTACGTCCAATCAGGTCCAGGCCTGAAGTACCGACTGAGAGACCATAACATCCTACCCCGGCGGCCTGCAATACGTCCAATTTTGCTCCAACGTCACCGACAGGCAAGTCTTGCCAGGTACAGGCAGCATCTCACAGTACAGGAGATTGATATTGTGTTTTGTTCACTGACGAGTCGAGATTTCATCTGGAAAGCTCAGATGGCAGGGCAAGGGTGTACAGACGGCAAGATGAACGGTATGTTGACGCATGCGACTTTCGACGTCGAGTTTTTGTGCGAAAGCGTTATGATATTGGATGTAACGCATCTCATCGTCGCACACAACTTGTCAATGGCAATATGACAGGTTTGCGATACAGGATGATATCATTGGGTCTCTGACGTTAGCTGAATTGGAACAGGCGGGTTCAGACATGGAACAACATTCTCCAAGCTTTCTTCAATCTCTTAGTGTCGTCAATGCGTCGTCGTTGTCAAGCCTGCATCAACACCAAAGTCGGACACACACGTTGCTGAATTTGTGAACTGTCATTATCATCACATCTCTTCGAGGGCGTGTCACGGTGCCTAGTGTCAAATCATGCATTTCGATATTCACCATTCAACAATCAAATAGTTATTAAGGAAAACATCAGAGATCATGTTATTATCTTTTTGCATTAAAAAATGGCATAACATCAAATGATGCACAGTCACTTATTCCAGTAGTAGAATTGCTTCCCTTCACATAATGTTGTTGTGTCTTGGTTGTGTTTGATACCTATTACAAACACACAAACATGTGTTACTGTTATATACGGACGGTATGAGTAATTAACGGAGGGTTTAGTAATTAACGTATTCATAACCTTCATGATCAGGACTTTTACTGTTAGGTACACTACATTTATCTCGTTCAGTGAAGGAATCACCAATTTAAAAGGGATTTTGTGCACAACATGTGCACTCAGAAGAATCTTGAGCTTCAATGTGCTGTTATTTTTGACAAACGATCGGGAGTTTTGGTGTCAGTATTCTAATCCGTATCTGCTGTAAAGCATATACTTTAAATTGGACGTGTCTCTTCTCAATTACGGTATTATTCCATTACATGAACATAGTTTTGTGGTCTGAAATGTGAGCAAACAACAACTATATGGACACAGTATTAAAACATGTTTGTTTTGAAGTCTATTTAAGAAATGCCAACTCCAACATCTATCTGGACAACGATCCCTCCAGCATCTGCTCCACCCTCCCGAGTCCATCAAATACACCCAACCCAACTGACGTGACGTGTAACGGTACCGGCAGATACGTCACCATTAGGAACCCGGGGAATGGAGGTGATGCTGGCTATGATAGCGCACTGAACATCTGTGAGGTGGAGATCTATGGTAAGTCATCTATTGTATTAAGTATGTGTATTCGTGTGCTTGTGACATGCATGTGTTTCACTGTCCATTCTCAGCAAATGTACGAGTCATGTTAGTTCCATTCCAGGGTCCCGATCCATAAATCAATAATGATAATAAGATAGTCATAAGGTAATGTTAATGTAACGCACTTACGACTATCTTAGCACTAAGAGAGCTTCGAAAATCTAGGCCTTGTAACCTTTCGTAACTTTACAGTTCATCATAGGCTTACGAATGTCGTATAGCTAAGAAGGCTTTGTGGGACCCTGATCTTTGTCTCAATATTTGAGAAGCTTTATCAAACACATTGTGAAAGTGCGGCATTGTTGATTGGATGCAGTCATCTATGTATAAGTGGGTATTTGAAGTTCGGTCGTTTCTAGTAGACAATGCATTCATATCTAACGAGATGCAAAATGAATTTGCAATAATGCAATACTATTTCTATGAAACAAGTTCATTGTTTCTGGTGTCTGACGAGGGAAGGGTTATCAAGTATTCTGCATTGAGAATTTTGAAAACATATTGTTTGGTTCAATTTTGTTGGTGTTTTACGCCTCACTCAGCAATATTCAAGCTGTTGGGCAGCGATCTGTACCAGACAATCCAGTGATCAAAGTCATGAGAATGGATCTACGCTATTGGGATACAATGACATGTGTCAACCAAGTCATTGAACCTGACCACCCGATCCCGTTAGTCGCCCCTTGCAACAAGCATGGGTTGCTGAAGACTAATTCTACCCGGATCTTCACGGGTCGATAATGTCATATTGTATGAAATATACACAGCAAATGTCCGAGTTTTCGGAAAGTTTTGTGCCAGATGTTTGCGTCAGTGTTTTGGAAGCTATATCATATGAAATAAACAGCAGATGTTATTACTGAACAATTGTGCAAGTTGTCCGATATATTCAGCCAACTGCTTCACTGTTTTGTTAGTCACCAGCCACATCCTTCACAATAGATAGATAGGTGCCTTCGGTAGGGCAGGAAATGCTTACCCCTTCTGCTAATACATGATGCCATTACTTAGCTACACAGTGCTATAGTAAGTGTTCTAAACTTGTGAGTGACAATTTCCGTTTTACGCTCAATGGAGTATGTTTTGTCAAAGGTAAGACTGGTTAATGTTCTCGGGGGAAATTCTCTTACTTCTACTAAATGCACATTTGCATTACCACAAAGAAAGACATGACTCCATTCTCCCTGTAATGTTACATGTAATTATCTATGGACTTTGCTATGGAACTCACAATCTGGTTCTGGTCTACAATGGTAACAATGGACCGAAGGCAGATACACTTGATCTCTGAGCGCGACCCTTTTGGTAACAGATTTAGACTATAGCTTTAAGGCCAAGAAATATCCAAATGTTTCTTGAGCATCAGCGCGTCAAATATCGTATTGCTTATAAAGAATATTGTTTTCAGATTCCCTCCCACAAAATACTTGACAAATGGCAGTGTTTTGAGGGGACCAGTTTATATTTGACTATGTTGCATTTGTTGGTATTAAGGTTGGGAAATGTTAAAAAATTATGGGATGTAAATGTAACAGCACATTTTCTATTACTATCAACCATCGTAAGATGCCAAAAGCTGTAGCTATCACTGATAGGTAAATAGAATAATGTCGGCCGTTCATCAATTCGATATTCACACAAATTCCAAATATTCATGGCTACAAGTTAGTACTCTTATATATACACTCGTCTTGTTATGCACTAGTCTGCAGTACAGGTGTCTACGGGGTGAACTGTGATAAGTTCTGTCACTGCCTGGATTCAACCTGTGATCGGTGGACTGGATTGTGTCCTGGAGACTGTAGACCAGGGTGGCAGGGACAGAGATGTGATACAGGTGAGGCGTTTGTACTATCAGCATTGATAGGCACCTGTCAGTGGTACTGGAGACTGTACAGGCCAAGGCATGTTGACTGTGTGTTTAGGTTAATCATTAATTCTCTAATCTAAGCTAGTCATTCTGTGTAGAGAGGGAAGGTTCCAGTTTGACTGTTCCCTGGCGCTTTCACATATTCACAGTATGTTCACAATATATATACACAGTGAATCGTGTTTTAACAGTCATAGAACATTTTGAAGAAGTGCAAAAGAATAACAGGATTCGAGCTTTGTGGACGTCATACTGTGGGCTCGTTTGTAGGGACATGTTAAGTGGTGGTCGACCTCACATATATACTTGTTTCATACAGTTTGCTGACACGATTACCCGGGAAGCTTTACTCAAATGTTTCTCAACTTTATGAACTTGATGCTTGTCCATATTTTACAGCTTGCAACAGCACTACCTATGGCATTAACTGCAACGAGATATGTGCTGGGCGGAAGTGTTCAGCTTCAAATTCGTCATGTGACCGTCACACTGGCGCATGTGACACAGGCTGTCTTCCTGGTTGGATGGAGGTTAACTGCACACAAGGTAAAGAATGTTGACAGTTTAATGATAATGAAAGATCAAGTTACGTGGAAGGGAGAGAAAGGAGGCGGATCGATTGCAACAATTATAACTTGGAAGGAAAATACATCAGCATTGATGCGAGTGAACACATTATATCATCATAACTAAACGACTTTGAAACATGAAAATGACCTCATATATTGCAAAAGTCTATTACGAATATAATTCTGGTAGCTCTCTAGGCTAACATGATGGTTTATGTGAGTAAAAGCAAAAGTGCACAAGCTTGTCGAATTTGGCTCGTTGCACAAGAGGTGAAAAATATGTGTTGTCATTAACATACAGATATCTCGATAATGATTAATGAAAATGTTATATCCAGTTTATCTTATGTCATAGCGTACCTATTTGTGTGTGATATTTTTCTGTACTTTGCCTTTAAATAAACATTTTGGTCGAAAAAAAATACATCAGTCATTAAGAAAGCCTGTATATTCACATGCAACTATAAAACACGATGTAAGCTCTCCATTTCGTTGTTACAGAATGTACCAATGGAAAGTACGGCGCAAACTGTACTAGTCTTTGCTCTGACAGACACTGTGCGGGAAATTCATCATGTGATCATGTGACTGGGTCATGTGATTCTGGATGTAAAGCTGGATGGATGGGTGTTGATTGTAAAGAAGGTAAGTCTGGGAAATGAATTATTGGTAAGTGGATATGAAATAAACCTAATCTAAAGATCATTCAACTCTCTTATGAACAATTTTCCTAACACATACAAAAGCCGCCATTAAATCATCGGTATCATATTTCAGAATGTGATTCCAAACATTATGGATCCAACTGTCTTAAGATATGCTCCACCAGAAACTGTGATGGAAACTCTTCCTGTAACTCAACAGGGACCTGTGACAGTGGATGTCTGACAGGGTGGATGTATCCTGATTGTACAGGTAATGCCACCAATGAGGTTCACTAACGTGGGTGACAATAAATATGACTGGTTGAAGCCACTGTGAGAGATCAGAGACACCTTCCACAATCACAACTTTCATAATATGTACGGGGCGGTGGGGTAGCCTAGTGGTCAAAGCGTTGGCTCGTCACGCCGAAGACCCGGGTTCGAATCCCCACATGGAATATTGCTAAGAGCGGCTCAGTCAGTCAGTCATAATATGTACAGGCCATGCGAAACATGAAGAAACATCTGTGATAGTGTCAAACTTACTTTTGCTTTGTCTGAAGAGAAACTGGATACGATGTCAACGTATATTGTAAGAATAAAAAGCAAACATGCCAATGTGAAAAGGAAATGCTGCAATGAATTTTAAATTTATAGCCTAGTCATAATTTAATTTGTTGAGGAAGGAAGAACATCACACAGATAATATTGATTGATATTGTTACATTGTTGGCCTGACTGAGGTCGGCAAAACAACACTCGATCAAGTGTTTATCTGTAATATGCAAGTACTAATCGCAAAGACTTTGGGCATTAAGATTCCGAAGCTAGTTGTGTGTCACTTTAAATCATCAGAACATTAAAATCAAGAATTGAGCAATGTTACACAACCTTGGAATGACTGCAGAATATCAGATAAAGTTACCAAATCTAATGGATCATGGCATCAAGACGGAAAAATTCAATGTACTCAGGTTTGTATGTGTCGCTTCATGAATCTGATGATTGATAGGTAATGAATAACACATGAAATGAAATATGAATTGTTTAATCATCTTATTCCAGAATGTGATTCCCAACATTATGGGAACAAGTGCAATATGAGTTGCAGCTCCAGACACTGTATGAAGAACTCTTCCTGTAACGCAACAGGGATCTGTGTTGGTGGATGTGAAGCAGGCTGGACAGGGGATGACTGTGCAGGTAATAGCAAGATGTCGGCGTGGGGTGCAAAGCAACAAGCAGGTTACAATGGATCGGAGACGGGGGAGATAAGATGACTCGACATAAGCTACTGCTATAACGGGAGAGGAGCTAGTCCCGAGAGTTTGTTACTGTTTTTGTAACAGGGTTATGACTGTGATGTGACTGATGGTTAATGCTAAAGTCCATGTGATGTATTAAGGATGGGAAGCAGCGGATGGGACACAGGTTAAAACAATCATTTCATGTCAGACTTCAGACTTTCCACAAATGGTCAGAGCACGGCAATGTAGGACACGTTCAACTGCCTATACGAAGTCGTACACTCAGACCTATTCACGGAAATAAATAATCATGTAAACGAAATGGAACACTCTACATGTGTCATTTCTGCCCAAACATGGTCTCGCCATGTATCTGAGTAAAGGTTTGACTGTCAAAGCCAGGGTAGAGTGTGTGAGCATAACATCACGCATAACACGAATTCATGTTTCTACAGCGGTTGTGAAGAAGAATATGCAAGTGACTTGTTCATGCACATGTTAATTCTAACAACGGTAATCTGACGAAGAAGGAAATTTTCTTTCAATTTATGACAGATTTAATGTTGGTGTGATAGATCGAAGTTCTAGTTTTTAATTCGAATCTGTGTTAATCTAGTTATTTTTCTGTCCTTCGTTGACAGGTTTTTACAATTTACCAATAATTACTATGTGTAAAATTAATCGTTCTCGTCAAGATATGGCTGAAATATTGCCGATGTGACGATAAATTATAACTCACTCACTCACCCACTAATGTTGGTGTGACATCATGCTTTTGATACAGAGGCTTCTAAAATGACAAAGATTATTTCAGTAAGCACGCTTTATGTGATGAAAGACGTGTGCACTTCTATGCTAACATTTTTAATCTTCTCCATTCTACATCCAGAGAAAGTTGCCACACAGACCCCAAGTCAGCAGCCTGAAGACGCCTCTTTTCCAATCGCTGCTGTAGTGGGAGCTGTAGTCGGCGTGGTGGTGATACTGCTGCTGGTCCTTGCAGTCATCCTGATAAGGTCAGTTTTTTTACATTCATTCTAATCCCTGTAATGTCTTCAAAGGCAATGAATCGGTACATACTTATTACAAATTGACGAGCCCTTGTTCTATACAAACTGTATTTCAATTTGTGTCCTTACATTTAGAAGAAGACGGGGGAAAAGTCATGGACGCTCTGCACACAAGACAGTGTTTGCTGATAACGTGAAACCGACACAAGGTAGATTCGTCTCTCTGGTTTGCTTAATTTATGCAAGATTATTTTTGACTGGCGTAATATATAGAGGCTGTAGCATACGTAAATGATCGTGTATACTGTTACGGTTAATAAATTGCCGTGACAAAAGGTTTAAAAGTCCCCCTTGAACAAGCAAAATAAAACACAGACAAGTCTAAAATATTCAATAATATATTGAACAAACAATGAGCAAGCTACAATGAATCACAATACAGATTTCTAGTACAATGCAGTTGAGTCACAAATCTAAAGTATTGGGTCACAAATATAAGACATCAACTCACCTTGACATTTACATTTACAGTTAGAGCAGATATACTCAAAACTTTAAACATTGTGACCCATAATAACTATCACCTAATCAATGATTTTACAAATTACAAAAAAACACACTCTTATAACAATACTCAATAGTAATACTGCATGATGTACCTTGACTCTCACATGGATCTGCTTCTTAGAGGTCCAGTAACTTCTGTACATATCATCCCTACTTCTATATATGATAACGACATTATGTCATTTTTGTCCTTTTTGGAAATGTCCTTTTTTTGTTTCCTGTAGCGGAAGACATTGGCATGTACATGAATATCGGATTTGATAACGACGAGAAACCAACGTTGTCTCCAGAGAAGACATCAGCTAAACAAATGAAGGCTCATAGGAAGACCGAATCCCAAGGCAATTCAACAGGTGACCTTGACCTTCAGAAAGTAGAGGAGGAAGAGGACTATGATGTGTCTGAGCAGCCTGCACAGGTTGAGGACACACCAGAGGTCCCTGACAGAAACTACTACAACCTGGACGACAATGGACGGGATCACGTGATTCCGGTGTCAGAATTACAGAAAAAGGTGGATGAAATGACTCCAGCAAGTACAGAAGAAGAATATAAGGTAAACTCAAAATGACGTGCACAAGCTAGAGAACACATTAAAAAACGTCACAACGTACGAGGAAGAATTAACAGAATTTAACATAATTAAGTTGCTTAATGACATTTAGTATACACCACGAAAGCTGCATCGCACAAAACCACCCGACAACAGCTCCTTGAAACATCCATTAAATATAAAATTCTCCTGAAATGACAAAAAATGGAAGCAAACTATTTCATGCTCGTTTTTCCGAAGGGGAATTGTGGCTGCAAGAAAGACTGATTATATCTAGCACTTACATAATGCATTCCCTCTTTCCACTTGTGACTGTGGCCAGAGAATGCTGTTCGAGCCAACCAACTCTAACACAAAGGCAATTACAGTTAGTGCCAATTGCCTCCAGCTTACAGGTTTTAGTGTGGATAACAGTACATACTGTGGATGTGATAATAATGTGGAGTAAGTGATTTGTTTAGTATTAGCCTGTGTATGTCACATGTTTTCCTTTTCAGCGACTTCCTGATGGTTATGTACACTCCTATGATGAATCTCAACAACCTAAAAACAAAGGGAACAACAGGTTCAGAGGCTATTACCCATGTGAGTACATCTTGTGGATGATCAAGTTTAAATGTAAGGTCAACTTTGACATCGTACAACATAATTGTTTCAGTCAGTTGCACTTCGTCATCCAGTGTCAAGTCTAAATCGACGATGTATTTGTATTCAGATGATTACAACCGCGTGGTGCTGCACCGCGTCAGTGACGACAAAGAAGGAGACTACATCAATGCCAGCTACCTCGATGTGAGTTAAGCAACGACTGTCAATCAGACACCGAATACACACTGAGCGTAACTGCAAAATGGGCCGTTTAGATCTTGTAGCTTGTCCTTTGAAGTTAACCTATACTCTTATTTGTTTAGGCGTACTGTGTAAGGTTTGATGCACTTTATAGGTTGATAACGCGGAAACCGATGGATAGTTCGAGTTTATGTGATATGTTCCTGTGACTGAGTTGTTCGACTTGATGATTATATTGATTGCATGTCATCTCATCTCCAAATTTCGTTGCTCTTTTATCATGGACGGTATCACAGGATTATCTGGCACATATTTCCTTATTAAAAACAGCTGTAATGTATTAAGTCGCATCATTAAAGAACACTGAATGGTCAGCAAATCACTTTATAAATAAGCTTCCTTGTATTATGTTACTTAAATCTTCTTATACACGGCTTTGCTCGCAGTGACGTTTTATATTTATATAAATAATACATATCTTCGTAAATTCTCTTCAGGGATACAAAGCAGAAAAGCGTTACATAGCAGCACAAGGTAAGATTTCACACACACAAACGGTTACTCAAACTGATATCTAAAGTAAGCAGATATTGTATAATTGCTCACCCACTGAAACCAAAAACCAAAAACCAATGTCATTCAAATGTATCCCTCCTTCCATTTATTGATAATGACGTAATGTTGAGTTACATGTGTGTTTCCACTTCGGGATCTCTCCGATTTAAGACTATCTTTAACTTTACAACATTGATTGGTGTGCATCCAAACCCAGTTTGAATGTACGCCTTTTGTCGGTATGCTTTAAAAACATAGTGTCCAATGAGTTTGCTTTTTGGTAATCATGATTTTATCATGACAGCTCAATGGTAACAGGAGCACAAACGTATAGAACGGAGTTACGAAAATGTGTTTGAGCAACTAATTTATATATAAAACCCCCAGCTTTTTGACCAAATTGGACCGTTGAAAATACGAAAATTCTAGTAATTGCGTTAAATTGATTTTTATGTTGAGCATATATAACTTTGAAGAATGAAACCCATGTAGAAGGGTCATCTGATAAAGCTTGACACTTTTTGTGTGACCACTGCTACAAGGGTTGGGTTATATTTTTAACGTTATATTCATTTCTCTGAATACCTCTGGATTAATCATAGACGTTTTATGTTATATTCACTTTCTTGTTAGGTCCCTACAGACCGGAAGTAGTGGTGGATTTCTGGCGAATGATCTTTCAGGAGCAATCTACAACAATTGTCATGGTGACGGGACTTGTAGAGGCGGGGAAGGTAACACACACACACACACACACACACACACACACACACACAGAGCATCATGTATATAGCATCTTCCACACCGTCATTCACACATTCAACTTGTTTTTCTCCCAAAGGTATTGAATATTCAGCAGCAACTGAATAATTATGTTGAAAGAAAACCGGTTGACACGAACGAATCAAATCCATACTTATCCGTAATGATAGCAAATATAGAAATCCCACACACTAATTGAGTTTTTGTGTTGATATTTTTATCACCTCGTTTAACTTAAATGGAGATATTTAATCCTGTAAAACTCCTGTATTTAAATCTTGTAATATTTTCAGATGAAGTGTCTTCAGTACTGGCCAGAGAAAGGAACTTCCATTTACGGCGACATCTCAGTTACCAAGGAGACAGAAACTCAGCTTGCAAACTACACAGTCACAAAACTGTCTGTTCACAATAAATCGGTATTATTTTTGCAATATTTGTAATTCTTCTCTATAAATGATCTTTTTTGAAAATGTCGACATAAACATTTAGTAGTTTGTGACAAAACGTTATATTCAACATAAATAAAATGCTATTAATTCTAAATATCAGGAAGGAAAGATACATCACGTTCACCACTTTCACTTCACAAGTTGGCCTGACCATGGCGTACCAGACACTTCCGCCTTGCTGGAGTTTATGTGGAGGGTCAGGGTCACCACAAGACATCAAACACAACCTATCATAGTCCACTGCAGGTTAGAGTAATACTGGGATGGCCATTGGGACACAGGTTGACTTGATCGGAAACGATAATAAACTGATTCAGCGTTCAATCAATGTATTTGTAACTTTCTCTATAATATGAGTTGCAGTTTGATTTTGATATATAGAGAAATGCATATTGATATATGTATGTTTGGGAAGCTGTAGATTATATGAAAGTAATTGAGGTGGGCGAATTTGATGTAGATGTTAGTGTAAATTAGGAATATCGTGTCATATTTATACTGGTTCTTCTTCTTCTCTAGTGCTGGTATAGGCCGGACAGGGACGTACATAGCTATAGAGAGTCTCGTGGATCAGGCAGCAGCAGAAGGTAATGTGGACGTCGTCAGCTTCGTCTCCAGCATGAGAGGCCAAAGGAAGAACATGATACAGACCAAGGTGAGTACACCACCAACAGCCTGTGTAGTTCACATGTTATCTATCCTGGTCTCCTGATATTACGTTCTCATTGTCTAACACCAGGAGCAGTACCTGTTCCTGTACCAGGCCGTGGCTATGGCGGTTACAGAGGGGGACACCTCACTGGATGCTGACGCCATCAGACAGATAGATCTCAGTCATGTACCTTCACTTACAATGGGCAACAAGAACGTACAGGAACACCTGGATGTAGGTAAACTTAAAAGTATAACTATCCTTCAAGGCTGTTAATACAAGAACGATGAAAATAATCATTTGTTCTAAAACTAACAGCGTGATAGTGGAAAACATGATGAAACAACCAACCAGAAATATTTTTGTTGAGCATAGTATGTAACATGGTTTCACTGTATTTCATACCATATATTGAATAAATCGTATATGTATTTAATCAATGTGTTACTTGTTTCATTTGCAGGCTTTAGGAAATACATCCGAAAGTAAGTTTAATGTTCTTTTCCTGGTTTTATATCACTTCGCCGTCAGACTGGAGAGTATTAACACATAAACAAACAAACTTCAGTGTGTTCAACTTTGTGGGTGGGCTTAACTCAGACTGAGTGGTATGATCCAGCCAAACCTAGAAAGTTGCCAGAACGTGGACCGTGTTTACATGTCAGCTGTTTCGTCTGCTAATGTAGAAAAAAACAGATGCAACGCCGATTCATCTGTTTACAATTCAGAAATAAGCATAAAGACCCAGAGTCACATAAGCACCCTGCATGATTGTATGACATAAGGGATAACCAAAGTCAACTTTATGTCGAGAAATATTACAGCAGTTCTTGCCTTTCTACATTTCATAACCTCTGATCTCCGGAGATTTTAACTGCGCCGTTCATGTGTTGTTCAAAGTTGTGCGGGTACGGTTACAACTACGAAGGCCTCAGGAAAGCTTTAAAACTATTTATAGAGAAATCAGACGCATAAGTGAAACACTTATGTCTGGTGCAACTCTAATTTTCACTTGTGTACGGTGCAGGTGAATATTTAAACTGCTCTTCCATGTGATGTGTGCTGCCAGAAGGCAGGATATACTCACCTGTTCGCGAACACGTATACGATAGATGATAGAGTCCTTCAAACTCATGCTAGTCAGAATCACGCATACAGTATACCCTGGTTATAATGTCACAGTTTTCCAGGAGAAGATATGGCATTATATCCAGGGTGGCATTATAACCAGGTAGGACACTTTGAGGCCCTATACAATCAACAAGGTGATTGAGTTGATGTCTCCTGTAATGATCCTTGAATAACTGGATAATCCCAGCATCTAGGGCTGCAGTGTGACTTGTTGTAGGTAGCAGGAAGTGTATTGTTACATGTGTTATCCCATCTGGGAACACGACTACTTAAAGCCCTAATGTGTTTGGTCAAATAATTTGAGTTATGTCAATTAACCACTTAAGTTATGTATACTACATGCAGCCTGTGTAATTGGCATTAAAATGATTTTTGTTCCCAAAGTCATTGGCACATGGCATTGTAACCAGGGTATTATAAGGAAAAGAAATCCGTTCTTGCAAAAACACGGCATCATATCCTGGGTGGTATTACAACCAGGGGCGTTATATCCAAGGGATACTGTACTTTGAGCAGTGGTGCCTTATGGACATCAGCGAGGATGTAATTTGAAGGCAGTTGCAGTTACACTGTACTCTACTTGACTTTTCGTGGAGTGCAATTGAACACATTTTAAGCAGGAGCCTTGTTCATTTTCACATTCTAAAACTGCACAAACACGAGGATCCAATAAAGAGGCTATTCATGTTAATGTATATTTTCAACAGGTCTTCCTGGAGATCATATTACCACGGTGGCAGTAAGTTTGATACTTTCTTCAATGTACTTCTCAATATGGCTGAATAAAGGTTAACTTATTGATATGCTTGTTACATAATATCTTAACATTAATTATGTTCTCACTTAAATGAGTTCAATCTTAACCATTATTTACCCTTCATATTAACGTAACATATTGTGTCTACCGTAGCTACTCCTCATATCACTTTGTTGATAAGATGCATAGTCACATCGTGTGTGTAGATCAGGATGATATACACAGTTAACATAAATATGTAATAGGTTATATCTCTCTGCAGTCCTACACATCAAGGAAGGGCTTCTTCATAACAACGTCACAACCAGACAAAGAGGAACTATGGAATCAGATGTATAACAGCGATTCGCGCACATTGATCACTTTGGCTGTAGAAAACCAGGTAGGAATAGTTTGCTACATTGCTTTGTTGATAAAGATGACATGTTGTTGTCAATTTAAAACTATCTTCTTTTTTCGTTCTTAAAAAGTCGAATATCGGTGGTAATTAATTATGCGATCCAAAATGCACTCTCAAATATTGACAATCCTGAAAAGGAAATAGTCACTTAAGTCAGCACTGTTTGGCTTGCAGATCTTCCTCCCGTCGATGGACAGTCCTGTCTCCACATCAAAGCTGACAGCAAGCCTGCAAACATCTAAAGTTATATCAAATGATGTTATCCTGAACATTATTGATCTCACAGTAAATGTAAGGCTTATGACATATATACTGAGTCAAAAATGAAACTTCACAAAATGTAATTTGCAAAATAATGAATAATTCTTCTCTGATGATACATCTATGTATCCGAAATGGGGTCCCTATCTGTCGACTTTAGAAAAACGTTAGCATAAACCACTCAAACCAATCCATTCGTCGTGCAAATGACGTTAGTGCCAAATCAGGTTTTGCACGTGCAGTCGGTCACGTGATCTTCGCATCGAAGTTTTCTTCATTTGCACGTGTTTGCCTTGGCCTCAAGAATTGAAAAAACACTTTTAAACCACACTTCCAACGGTACCTGAAATGCCACGATTGTCAAATGTGCAACGTGAACATGCCGTTGGCATGTTGCAAGCGGGAAGATCAGTTATTGACGTCGCAAGAGCAATGGGATGCAGCCGTCGTACTGTGTAAGACTTGCGAGGTCGTCTACAACAAACTGGCACCACTTCTGATCGCCCAAGGTCGGGTCTTCCACGTGTGACGTCACGAGCCGAAGACCGTCAAATCGTCCTACGTCACCTACGTGAAAGAATGTGAAGTTTCTTTTTTTGACTCAGTATATATATCACCAACACATTGTATTACTATATATATTTCAGTTTAACTGTCCGTATTGTTTGTAAAGAAGGAAAACTGTCTTTCAGGATGCTGACGTCACCTCAACAATTCAACACTATCATATGACCGGAAGTACACATGATCCAAGTGTCACTCTGTTGATTGACAGCTTACTTACATGGATGAGTGACCCACAGAGATGTTCCTGCACAATCATGTCACAGTAAGGATATTTTGTTCACATCAGTCCATTTCTGTACGAACAAAATTATTCAGTGTAACCAAAACAATAGTTCTTTCTGATAGACATGTAAAATATATACTTGTCTCAGATGCTCTACACATGAAAATGTATCTACCATGTATCTGAAAGATTTCAGGTCAGCGTTTTGAAAACTCCCTAATATGTATTGGAACGAAGCCGTTTAAATAGTCGCTTCTTGGTGACACATTTCCTTTCTCCATCCTGGGAAACGTGGTTGAGGCATGTGTGAGGTCACAAATACTGAAATATGTAAAGCCACATTACATGAGCAGACATGTAAAACACAATACCAGTAAAACACAGTCAAACACAATATCAGTAAACAATGATTCCTTGTAGTTACAGCTTACTAAATATCTTACTGCTTTTTAAGTCGTTCTGATTTATAAAGACATCAACAGAAAATATTGTAGTGATTGTAAAACCGCTGTCGTAATCACTATAACTGTGGGGGTTATTACAAATATTTCATTACCCTACTCTCATGTCGTTTCATCTGATACGAATATTTTGGTATATATAATGTGCATCGATAACCATCCATTCTTTACATGCTTTAAGTGTCCTGTTTTATACGTCACTAAATATTCAAGTCATGCAACCCGTCAACACTTTCTAATACCTTCTTGAGTTCACCCATGAGTGGGGCGGTGGGGTAGCCTAGTGGTTAAAGCGTCGGCGCGTCATGCCGAAGACCCGGGTTCGAATCCCCACATGGGTACAATGTGTGAAGCCCATTTCTGGTGTCCCCCGCCGTGATGTTGCTGGAATATTGTTAAAAGCGGCGTAAAACCAAACTCAGTCAGTCAGTCAGTCACCCATGAGTGGGTACATGACTAACTCTTCTCTGCAGCTCTGTGAGCGAGGCACGGTTCTTGGTCCTTTTGGTGAACATCGCCAGCAGGCTGCAGGACGACAGCAGGGTGGACGTCATCAGCAACATGCGACGTCTACACTCCACTCTCGGTGGACCTCAATTCTCTCAGGTAGGACACATTGATCCGTCATAATTGTCTGTCTTTGCTGGCATGTGGAATCCAGTTGTAGGTGAATTGACACATAATCATGATTCAACAAGCATCTATAGGTTTGTGTAGATTAGTATTTTACAGTCGGGTTTGAGTAATGCTGAGAAATATGTCTCCATGCTAATGCATCCTGGAGACAGCGAGACACCATATTAAGGACTCTGTGCCTTGAGTCTACAGTTCTGACGTTTTTTGTTTCACTTTCAGGAGGATGTTCGCCAGTGTCTGGAGTTTGCACAAGGACGACTGGAATCTCTTGGACTCTATGCTAATCTGTAAAGCATTGTTATTCATGGTAGCACTGTGCAATACCATTTCAATATTGTACCTGATTTTTTGTGTATTATCAGCAATATTGCTAATGCAAACGGACAAGGCTTTTTACTAATAGACCAAAAATGACTGTAATATAATGACACAGTAGTCTAGTTATGACAATGAACATGACTACTTGGTAAAACTTTACAAGTCTTTACAATAATCGAGTTGTGATGTGTACTAATGACACGAGAGACTTGATAAAACAGTTTTTTCATGTTTGTATAAGTAATGAAGCTTTTTACAATGTTTTCACAAAACAAGAAGAAAACCGGAAACAACTTCTAACTTGTTTACAATTTGTTTTTATTTCAAACCTTTTACTAGACTGAATGTGATATCATGATGTTACAATATTTGAAAAGGCTATTCTGTATTCCTTTCAGCAAAGAATACTACTAGCAATACATGCTTACACATATTTGTCATGAAGGGTTTGATCCGGCAGCCAATACGTCTCTCCCTTAATGAATGTTACAGTTTATCGTCCCCTCGGCAATATTTCAGCAATAAAGTTGGAAAACATATTTCATAAATGTAAAATTGTGTCGTCGAAGGAGAGACTGGCAACTGGATTAGCCCTTAGTTTTCAAAACTAGTTTGAGAGCAGGCGATATATTAAACTAACAATTGAAAAAAATATATATAAGGTGGCTAGAGGTGTAAGACAAGGAAGAACTTCACAAGTTTGATGTCCATGTTATTGCATTGCTTATCCTGGTGAAATGGCGGGTCATTTAAAAAGTGTCAACACAACTTAATATGATGTCATCGAGTTTGGTGCTTCTATGTGCGATGTGGCATTCAGATATTGATCATGTAATCCCTACATATTCAAATTACGCGGACCGTAGTGAAATGTTTGTTACTGCACATGCAATAATCTCTGCACAACGGTATACATTTCAGTCTCCAGTGCTTTCATAACACATTATTTATTTTAATAATATCTGCCTCTGTTAAAGGTCACATGCACCGTAAAACACAACTTTGCAGATTCTGATACCTTTCGGTATGGACATACCGAAACAAATCGTCAAAAAGTTGAAAAATAAAGCGATGGAAAAAACCGCGCGAAATCGGAGTTCAACGTTTCACTAATTTTCCCCAGACTTTTCTGGGGAAAACGGGTTTCAGCAGCTGGGCTGCGCTCATAGCACGTGCGCAAGTAAATAGGTTCGCGCAGCTTGGAAGCGGGTTGTTGGGTGAATACTCGGTGAAGGCTTTGGTGTGAGCTATTTTTCTAATGTTTTGTTGATATCTCACAGGCGCGAGCATTTTATATGTTATGACATTAAATTAACTGTTTATATAATTTCATTTGTCTATTTCACCACACGTTCTTCTTACCGAGACACCTTCTCAGTTCGATACTTAAAAGCAATGTCATTATTTAGCGTTGATAGAATTTCTAACTGTGATATAGATATGTCGTTGTCACAGACAAAACTCAATGTCTTGTTTTATTGACACCTGTGTGTCTGCCTGCCTGTCTGCTAATGACAATATGCAATACACAGCTGCTATCACTGACCACATGCAATTTGAACTTAACACCAATCAGGCTATACGGTACCCTCCCATTACCCCTACATGCCACTACCCCTACAGCTTATAACAACATAGTTTATGGTCTGTTGCATAACTAATCTCCTGCCTGTTACCTATTCCATACAGTGGACTGGTCCACTTAAGATGCACAACATGACACAAGACAGATTTTAAAAGTGACTTTAATACATGTGTTATCACAAAGTACCACATCATTGAGATAAATTGTCAAGTTTTTCAGTCTATTTACATTCAGTGTTTTCATATCATCATATAAGGATGAACAAAAGATCACATTATCACAAGTGTTTCATATCAACATATCAGGATGAGAGAAAGACCACATTATTACATTATCACAAGTGTTCAAGTGTCAGTGTTACAGTCTATCCAAGCTTGAGCAGGTAGTTCCACAGGTGAAGAAAAATCTGGCAGTGTCGTCGACCCATGTTGTCACGATGTAGTCGTTGAAGTCGCCAGCTCTTGGGACGTCAGGAGTGTCATCCATGGCTTCAATCCAAGTGTCTTGGACCGCGGCTTGAGGAAGTAGAGGTAGTCCAGCTGCTCTCCTGATCCACTTGGTGACTTCGGGGTTTTCCTTGTAGGCAACAGCTAGTCCAAGATCCTGAACCTTCCTCCAGATGGCTTGACAGAAATGGAAGAAACAGCCCTTCACGTCAGCAGTGGGAAATTCTGTTTCTATGGCGTGGATTGCTGCTAGCTCAAAATCGGTCTGGATGCAGGCAGGATCAAGCGGTCTGTTGAGTCTCTGCTGAACTTCATCCTTGAGCAATCGGAAGAGTCTGGAGTAGGTTGTTGTCTGGCGGTCCGGAAGAAGGGCGAAGATGAGGGATATGTTGAGCTGCCACGTCTTGCATGGATGATGTATACTTGATTCCACAGTGCAGGACAGGCTGTGAAAGTTCCATCCATGTAGAGGTTGTCAGCTGACTGCAAGGCTTCAAGACTCTCTTGTGTTCCGAAGGCCAAGATCTTGTCATCATGGCCGTCCGCAAACAGGAGGAATGGTCTACCATCTGCTGTCTGCGTCCAGGGATCTTGGAGGTCGACTTCTGATCTCGTCTGTGGTAAGACAGGAATCGTCTTCTGGCGGTGGCGGTACAGGGCACTGCTAACAGATGGAAAGGAGGGCATGGTACGTGTCTCGTCATCAGTCAGGTTGGTAAGCTCGTTGTTGTAGATGGTGCGCATCGGTATTGACCTCCCTGGCTCTCTTCCTCAGGTTGCTGACAAACCGGACCTTCTGGCTATCCTCTGGTGGGTGATTGTGTTCAGTCGTATTTCTTACCACATCGCCAACAGTTGTGACTCTTCTTTTGCATGTTGACTGCACACTTCCAGTGTACACAGGTCTGTCGCTCAACATTCTTAGTGTGAAGATATCCATCCAACAGAACTTGACGGCTACCTCTCCGTGACATAACAAACTCAACATTGCGAAGACCAGCCATGTTGATGCCATGTTTGTTTCATGTCAGCACTTATATACTGTATGGAACAATCTCAATTTCCTGTATCATCTCCACGTTTTATTTCTCTCAACTTCTCAACATTGTAATATATGTAACATTAAAGTGCACTATAACAACTTTTCTTAACAACATTTAGCAGATCACAACACTTTTTCCAATTGTATGTTTCTTTCACTCAGGGTTGAGGTTTGTTTTCATCATGAGACCACTAATTTCCTTGCCACAAAAGACTAATCACATTTATGCATCCCTTGATCTCATCTATGCTCCATGCACTAATCCCTCTTTAGGATTAGTCTATTATATCAGACACAGGTAAATGCTAGGTGTTGTTTTAACTAGCTGTAGGGGTACTGGAGTGTAGGGGTAGTGGCATGTAGGGTTATGGGTGTGAACCGGCTATACACCATAAACAAAATGCATTGATTTATGGCCGAGTTCGGTCTCTGTCACATTACGTAATTACACAGACAGACATGTGTGATACTTGAACATGACATGTTATGATGTCTGTTGATTGCAAATGTTATACGCAAAAACGAGCATGTATTTACAAAACCCAACATCTCTCTATATATATATACACACAATTAGCCGTGAAGGCATCTGCAATGAACCAGCCGTTACACTTGAGTGCACACCCACCCGCTCTGACTGGGTTCGGTATCCCGGCTGCTTCGTTTCTTGGGAAGTTAACCCAAGTACACAATTTTGCACTTTGATTTACGATTGTACGCTTATAATTTTGTTTATATATTTTTTCATAACCAGCAATGTATATTATATGTCATGAATAAGTGATAATTGTGTTTTAATTATGTTTGATTTTTTGGTTGCATGTGACCTTTAACTAATTTGTACATAATTCATCTTCATTTGTATATGCATCTCTGTAAATATTGCTGTTCAGTTGCTCATATCCGCATTAAATTTGATTGCATTGTATTGACACTATGCCTAAATCAAGGTAGAGAATCGAGTATTTACAGACCACCGCCATATAGCTGGAATGTTGCTGAGTGCGGCTTAAAACTAAACTCACTCTTCACTGAAACCATCCCCTTTGTCATGCAGCCTTGTGGACGTTTTTCACTGAATCTTTATGCTTTGATATTAATATGAAACAGTTGTCTCCTTTATTTCAAGGTCACATGGGTAAATCGGTGGAAGAGAATTGGCCATTTAATGGTTATTTAACGACATTAGATCATCGATGAACCAGAAGCTTAAGTTAAACGTCTTGGCCAAATGACTTTGTTTTGACTTTGCCAACCCAAGGAGAAATTCTGATTCATATGCATTAAAAAAACAGATCCACAAGGAGGGGAGCACAATGGAAGCCCACGGGGATGCCTACTTCTTGTCGAAATGTTTTACCCATATTTCACAAAGATGTTATCAATAAGAAAATCCAACATTTCACAAACTGTGGTTTTGGGCAAACTTCAAATGACATTTGTTTTCAGTTTTGACAAGTTGTTGTTTACTAGTTTTGTCTCAGGATTGTCATGTTGGATAGTGGAATACAACGTTGAATCATCAAACGTTTTAACAGAACGGAACTCGGTTCGTTTCTGAGAGTGTAAAAATGTCAGCGAATCCTTTGAGTTAGTTGTGAATCCACATGGTGTTAATTCCGCTTGTTTAAATACTTTTTGTGAAACCAGTGTTCGTTGTTTTGTATATTGCTTGACTATTAACCTGGTTTGGGTCGGTTTATTGGCCCCTTATGGAGCCAGTTATTATAGATAATACTGACACTTTGTATGACCGCCAAATTATGAATAAAGAAACACGCAGCTCACTGTTGTTTATTATAATGTCAAATAGAAAGGCCAGTCCTTCATTTGATTTCTTCATGAAGGTGAAAAGAAACAAGAAAGCTATAGATGACATCAATACTAGAAGAACATGAAAGAAAAGGTAAGGCATCAAGACGGGTGAAGATGTCCTGCAATGTATCTAATCGATGTATGCTACTTGGCACAAGAAAAATGGTTTGAAGACGTATATGTTTGATTGTCTTTATCTCTTCTTTCAAATCACAAGATTTGAACATTTGGCGTTAAGTAATAAGGTAAATATCGGATAAGAATGATTAAAACATTATCATCGTATGGCGAAAGCGTAATGCTGCGACGTTGTAGCATAAATATTTATTCAATCATTTTGTCGGTGCTGTGGAGTATTTTCGTTATTTCGATTATTTTCTCGTTACTTTGAATGCTTTTCTCGTTACTTGAGTTTCTTTAAAACCTCTGAAATATCAAGTATTTTCTCGTTGCTTCAATGAATTTCGTTCCAAATTTCTTACAACCACTCAGATTTCAAGTTTTGCGAACAAACTTGAAGTAACGATAAATAGTGGAAACAACGAAGAAATACCGGAAATATTATGTGTTGACAGAAAATCCAAGTGACGAGAAAAATACTCAGAAGGAATGAGAAACAACTCCTCGAAGAAATATGGACACAACTAGATTACATTCCCAAGCACCGACAATAGTGATCGAAGCAACGGTAGAAACAAATTATTTTTATGCTACAAAGTGGCAGCATAAAGCTGATACCTGAGAACAAGATGCC